GGTCGTCGAAGACCTAGAGTAAGCACTATTCGAATCATCGATAATCTTTTACCGTATTCCTTTAGTAATTTTCGGGATTTTTGCCATAATTTTTTTTGGCAATTTTCCGACCTCTCGACGATGGAATTGTTTCGAAGCGAAATATAGTCTGAGCAACGATACAGCCTAGTCAAAAATTAAACCCTCGAAATGCTATATGGATCGACCTAGCTATATTTCGTCCACTAACTGTATAGAAAGTGGAGAATCGAGTCTAGTTTCTTGTCGAGTTGAGAAAAATATTAGAGTAATGTTTATTTAATGTTTAGCTCTTTACAGTTTATGGGTAGTTGAACATGATACGGTGTTTTGTCCCAGTTAGATCAATTTTGGTGTATTCATATTTTATAGCAGTACTTCGTGTATGTGTTTATTCACAGACACACTGTTCTTTATTTCGCTGAATTCTACGTTAGTATTAAATATCGTCCACCAATGCGAAATATGTATTTCGTGTAATTCTAACAACACAGAGTCGAAGAACGACTTCGGGACTTTGACACGTGTTGGATGTTAATCGTCAGAATCCTCTTAATTCGAACTTTGGGGGAACGGCTACCCTTCGGAAATTCTATCAGAAATTCACATTAACCCTTCGCGTCCCACATAATTCCCTCCCAGCTTTCTTCCTTCATAACTTTGTCTTTGCAAAATAGAACTTTCACAGGAAAAAGTGTGAACCTATTAAAAACTGCTCCATGTGCAAAGATATAAACCAAATTTATGCACATTTATAACGTTTCCTTGTCAAAATGAGACTTTCAATTTTCGAAGGTTTCACTGCAAAAGTGTGCTGCAGTCGAACCTATTAAAAAATGCTACAACTGCAACGATAACTCTTATAAACCAAATTCATAATTCTTTCCAAAAATAAAACTTTCAATTTTCAAAGGTTTCACTGCAAAAGTGTTTTGGAATTGCACGTATTGAAAAATGCTCCGAGTGCAACACATGACTTATAAACCAGATTCATAAACACTTACAATTCTTTTTCCAAAACTGAAACTTTCAATTTTCAAAAATTTCGCTACAAAAATGTGTCAGAATCAAACGTATTAAGAAATGCTCAGTAAAAGCTTCAACGACATCACGACAACTTCGGTAACCACTTACTTATGCAATCCAACCCTCTGCTTGTATTACAATTAATTATTCCTCACTTGAATATTGCAAGAAATTATCGAGAAATCGTACATTAACATAAAATATACTTAATCGTTAATACAGGAGAATCTCTGAAATAGAATTGGTGCAATAGCGCACAAGCGAGTCTCACGGTCGCCCGGTGAAAACTGGCGAACGGTTTTAAAGAACCGAGAGGAGCCACGATTGTCCATGATTGGCTGATTCCCGACTAACGCCCCGGATCGCGGACCGGTCATTAGTGCAACGGAACCGGTGCGCCTGGGACAGGGAAACGCGGAATGTCCGCGAGCCGCAGAGCGCTCGCGCTGGATGCCCCTATTATCGGTCGTCCGACCGCTAGAATGCCGTTAGACGACGGTCAATCTATTGTTCTACGTGTGTGCATGCGATCTTGACGCTCCTCGGACGAAGAGCGAAGCGAACGGCCTAACTACCAACCAATCAATAGTGTACCGCTCTCCGGATTTGCACTCCCAACATTTTTCGCCTAATTAACAACGTCCTACTCTCCGCAATCTCTAATTTACATAATTTCTGAAATTCAATTTCCCGGCGAATTTTCGAGGAATTTATAAATCATTCCTACAATCTCTGGCAATTTTGATTAAACAGGAATTAAATTCGGTCAAATGACCGGTTATGAAGTAAATATATTTTTCTGAAATTTTTCTGATTGTCCGTGTAATATAAAAAACAACGCAGAAAATAGCCTTCAGATAATAATAAAAAACAAATTACATATCAAATGTTAATTATTTCCTATTCAATCGACGTTGATGACTTAAATCGGTGAATGATCCATTCGTGAAATGCAACACCGTGTATATCTCGCGTACACAAATCGCGTGAATTTTCTGACGTCTAGATTGACCATGGACCAAGCGTTTGCTCAACGATTCGCAATTATTGGAAATGGGTTATGAAAAAGAAATACAGTAAATTCTCCACAAGTGTCAGTCAGTTTGGATTCTACAAGTGTCGGTATAGGCTGCGTCATTGCTGCGCCTATGTTATCTCGCTCACTGTCAGTCAAGCGTGTAACGCTACATCACTCGGACAATTCATAATAGAAAAATATAATTTCTTTAAGCTAAGAAAAAGAATCGTGTTATTGATATTTATCATTTACATAGGATTGTAAGCTATAATACTTATTTATTCGAAAATAAAATATAGCCTTTTTCCATGGAACAAAAGCGCAGTATATCGAAATTGTCCACTAAAAGAAAAGTTGAATGAGGAGTGATAACAAATGGAAAAAATGATAAAAATGTTTTTCACGAAATAGTAATTCGAAACGAAAAATAAAAAAGTCGATGGACGTGTAACATTGCAATATTCGGCTCTTTTCTGCAATGTGGATCAAAATCCAAAATTAAACTAAAAATTTTGATTAATTTTGAATTTTTTTTATTTTTTTGCCAAAACAATGTTCTAAAGTTTGTTTTTTTTACATTAAAAAAATTGATTTTTTTTGGCCGGTTTTTTTCAAAAAAACTGTGCGTTAAGGGGTTAATTTTACCTTTTTTCATCTGAAATTTTTTTTAATTTATTCGCTGTCCTTGTCCTACGTTCGGCAAGCTACAAAGGCGGGCGCGAGGCTCGAAAACGTAGTCCCTGACTCTACAAGTGTCAGGTTTAGGTTCCTTGCGGACTGACACTTGTGGAGAATTGACTGTAGTCATTCTTGTGATATGCTATTTATCGACGGACTCAGAGGAAACGTCTTTACGCTATTGAATGTTCTAAAGGACTGTTTCTGGGCACCCAAAAAGAAAGTTGGTGTCCCCTTATACCTAGGAACTGTTTACGGTATCGCATTGTGCAGTGCGTGACTCGAAAACGGACACCAGACACATCTGGTGGAAGCCTTAGTGCCTTTGTTTAAAATAACGCACCTGACTCTACAATTGTCAGGTTTAGCTTCCTTGCGGACTGACACTTGTGGAGACATTACTGTAGTCATTCTTGTGATATGCTATTTATCGACGGACTCGGAGGAAACGTCTTTACGCTATTGAATGTTCTAAAGGACTGTTTCTGGGCACCCAAAAAGAAAGTTGGTGTCCCCTTATACCTAGGAACTGTTTACGGTATCGCATTGTGCAGTGCGTGACTCGAAAACGGACACCAGACACATCTGGTGGAAGCCTTAGTGCCTTTGTTTAAAATAACGCAGAGACATTTTTGTCCTCACTTGATTATTTCCATAGAGTGTTGTTAGAAATAATCCAACAGCGATATTATCAAATCTGAGAAAATGAGAATACACCCTAAGTGTTACGATATCTCGGAACTTTTCCTACCGTCAACCCCTACGTACCAAATTTTCGTTGGATCATCGACGGTACACTATGCACCGGTGTACAAAAGTCACGGTATAATAAATACGTCCGTGTTATGCTCCAAGAGACACGCACCGCAATTTCAATACAAACAACCGGTGTACGTGGTGCAATACAGTTACGGCGGTCAGACGTTTCCGGTTTCTTTGAATCTTCCAGATAGACGAAACGCGTGGGTAAGACGCGTAATAGATTTGAACCAATGTCGTTTCGAAGAGCAGACAGAGAAAGAGAGAAGGTAGAGATTATCACGGAAACTCTGAACGTCGTTTCGATCAAACAAACTTTTCGGGATTGAATCATTTTTATCGTCCCGGAACTTCCGTTATCTGGTGACATTTCGTGCGAGCTCCAAGTTACCGACAGACAGGGGCGGCAGATAAACAAAAAAATTCACCAATCGATAGCTTTTATCTGCGTTGCTGTACGACGCGGGCTTCCAAACCTGCTGGCGAGTCGCGATTTTTTGTTCTTCAAACTTCCAACCCATCAACGTCCATTCTTTCGTGTAAACTGTGTTTTAAAATATAATCACACTTTCGTGCAATTGTTTTTTTACCGTAATTGTTACCGTTGGTCGTTTTTAGTTGGTAAATTTCGACGAGATATTATTTTTGACAATTTTCGAATTATACGGAGAAATGAAAATTGTACAAATGTGTCGAACATACTTGTACTACTTTTTTCGACACATAATTGCTTGTGCAACATCTCTCGATCTAACGGTGCGTACATAGGATTCATTGAAATTCAATTAACTCTCCTTCTGAAGTAGAGATCAAAAGTTAACTGCCCGGAAACTTCTGCAACCGCGGTACACATCGCATTACTGATATAGTCGTTACTCTTATCGTTCCTATTAATAAACTCGAATATTTCACCAAATCCCCTTCCTCAAACAATACACTCATATTTACACTTTGACGTGACTAATAGAAAATTCCTCGAAAAAAACACCTTTCAAAGTCGTTCACTTTCAATTACGAAAAAAAATTTCGAAAAATTTCAATTCGATTATTTTTAATCTTTCGAAACGAATAAACTGCACATTGACGCGACCGATAGAAAATTTCTCGACGAAACACCCTTCCGTAGTCGTTCACTTTCAATTACGAAAAAAAAAAGAAAAAAATGTCGAAAAATTTCAATTCGACTATTTTTAATCTTTCGAAGCGAATAAACACACGACACCAAGAGGTAAACTGAAATCCCCACCACGTGTGAACTCTGCTATCAACTGTCTGACCCTCGAACGATAAAAAACAAACCGATCGTTAAAAAAGGTAACGTTTCGATCGACCGGCAAGAACGTGAAAATACGATCGAAATACACAGTTCGAACAAGTATATAGAAGAGTTACACGTGTTGCACGCGAGAGAGGAAAACAAATTATGACACAGACGCGCGAGAGCGAGCGCTGCGCCGCGCCGTGGCGACAGATAAGAAATATTATTTTCAGAGAGACATACCATCATTCCAGGCAGTCTAATGGAGCACGAGCGGCACGATAGCGAGAGATTTCCTCGTTACAGGGGGGCCACCCGGGCCTGTGGCCCTGGTTGGTGGGGTCCCACCATGCCCCTCCACCGATCGTTTCTTCTCGTTGCTATGGATATCCGCCACTAATACACACACTCTTGTCAACTGTCCACGATTTCTTTCACTCGACGATAAAACACTTTGACAGTAATCGTCGTTACAGATCCATCATTTTTTTTCTCTCCTTTCGTTCCGAACAACGGAAGATTCTCAGCGAAACTTGAAGGTCATTTTCTGGAACGCGGTGTACTTTCGCTTTCGTCGTGTCTTCCGCGCTTTTCCGGAGATACTCGAACCGCCACCAGCGCGCCACCACCGGCAACAACTTTCTTTCGCGCGGAACCAAACCGAACACTCCAGTCCCGTAACTATGCATACACGAGCAAAAAAGAAACAACACGATCACGTTTAAACTGTCTTTTTTTTTTTTTCACGACGACAGAGGTTCGACAATCGCGACACCAGGCGTCTCTGGTTCAAATGTCGTTAGGTCCCTTGTCGTTGTGAGGACGAAAAAGGATGTATGTACGTTACGAATAATATATCCGTCCTTTTTTGTTTTTTGTTTTTACCGTAGAACTTAGTACTGTACAGTGAAGCCTCTGCTATTTAACTATGTTATTCTTATTGTACACAATGTAACCGCTTCGATGCCCGTACAATAAACGTAATGCCCTTCCGATCACTTTGACTAGCTATCACACACCAGCAACAGAGTCGAGGTTAGCTCCGCGGAGTCGAACGTCACGCAACCGGCGAGAAAAAGACGCCGGGAATAGAATGAACGCTCCCGTGTCCCCCGACCAACATATCACCGCCGTTTCACGCCGCCAGTGGCGTCCAGACGCCGCTTCGATATCCGCAGGCCGAAATTCTCTGGTTGTCGAAACGAGTTTGCGTGCCGCATATCGTCCAACGGTTCCGTGACCTCCGAACTCTGTCGTGTCTTTCTTTCTTTCCTTCTTTCTCCGTTTCTCGCGCGACACTCTGGCGATGCGAGCGACAGATAAGGCGCGTATTAACAACGTCTCGATAACGTTCACTCCGAAAAACAGTCGGCGCACAGCACCGCCACCGAAAGTCCCTCGAGTCGCATGTTCAAGTCTCTTTTCTCCAACAAAGATGCCCGTGAAATTAGCCACGAATTCAAGCGTCGATGTTCCTCGACGGATAGTACACGTTCGTTCGTGCAACCGATTCCACACCGTTCCCGTGAAATATTACCGAACACATGATAAAAAGGATTCCTGTAATTCGTTAGTTTCTTGGTTCTTGTATTTACTACACATCGACCGATAGGCTCCGAGATTAGTGGGTTTAGAAAATTTTTACTCAACGTCACGATGATAGAAACTTTGTCGAACACACTTTTTTTGAATTAACGGTGAGAACCAGAGAATCTTCCAGGTTACTTCGGACGATGGTAAGATGATAAAATTACGTCGAAGCAGACCGCGTCGATTTTCCCTCGTAAATCGTCAACAGGTGGTTCGAGAACGTTAGACCTGAACCACGCGTACAGCGACAAGAAACTCGACGTCCGTTACAAACTTATGTGGTCGATCGAGTCTCGACGAATTCCGTGCGAAAAATTCGTAAGAAAAGACGATCGAAGACAAGAGGGAGAGAAGGACGCGCGCGAGTCACTTCGAACAGCTGATCGCCCGCGCGCACCACTCTCTGTCACTGCTGACACTACACCGAACGCTTAAACCACATCTCGCCCTGGTCCGGAATAAAATTCTTTCCTTTTTTCTCTCTTCCGTCTCTCGTCCGTTCCAGCCGATTATTCGGCAACCAAATTTATCTCCGCTTTATTTTCGCTCGTGACGAATCTCGATCGTCTCGTGTTTATCTCGAAAGCACCCTTCTCCTCTCTCTGGCTCGTTCACACCGTCGTCGAATGCGTCACCAGCCCGCGAAAGTTGCACTTAAACTACTCGTATTGTGCGTGGACTCCTCTCCACGGCTGGTAAACGGCGCAGAACACACGTGTGCGTGTATATATCACGATAACTCAATATTCCTTCTCTTTCTCTAACACCACTGTCTTCCTTCCCTTTTCGTCCGCTCTCTATCTCTCTCTGCCTCTTCTCCTCCGCGGAGACTGGACTATTTTTGTTGCGATGGAAGTAACGGCGGTAGTAGCACGCGTCAGCCTCCCCCCACTCCTTATCTCGCTCGCTCGCTTTCCTTCCTCCTTCTTAACGCGTTCTTCCCTTCCCACGTTCTTCTTCTTCTCCTCGTCGTTATGTCGCTGTCCTCGTTCCTCGTCTTCCTCGTCGTCGTCGTCGTCGTCGTCGTCGTTGGTGTCGCCGTTGGCCCTTTGTTCTCTTTGTTTACAATGCACGGATCGGCCGACACGTTGCCCCCCTGCCAGTAGACGGACGCCGGAAAGAAGAGGAGGAAGAGGTGGAAGAGGACGACCGGGTTCTTTCATACGCAAACATCGGCCGGCGACTCTTCACGGACGGTTCGCCTGTTCCCCGTGGCCGTCGTCGCCGACGCTACAACCGATCGCGAAAATTCACCGCGAACTTTGACCCGTCGCGAGCCGTCGTCCGCTCGCCACGGCCAAACACGCCGTCGTTCCGAGGCAAGCCGCGCAACGTGCTTACGAATCTTCTATCTTTCGTATCTCCCCTTCTTTTCTCAACTCTGTCCCACTACAAATGTCACAACGACAGCTTATACAGTACCAAATTTACGATACTTCGAAATCCCTTCTAACCTCAAAAATCCAATCGAACTTTCTGCAAGAGAAAACGAAAGAAAAAACGAAGAAGGGGAGTGTGGGGGACAAAAAGAAAATAACAATAAAAAGGAGCGAAGTGAGAGATGATCGAGAAAGCACAGAGGCGCGACCGCGCTCGGACAGAGAGCCGTATAAGAGAAGAGGGAAGAGCAAGGACCTTTGATGCTCGTCCTATCGAAGTCCGCGAGCGATTGACTCCCGCGCGTCCCGGTCTTGGAACCGTGGCACGCGTGAGGGGAGCACGGGAGGGGATTCCCGCGGGAGGAGAGGCACCGCGGAACGAATGGAGATCGTGCGGGGTCGGTGTGTGTCGGGTAGTCGCGTACCGACTGGGGGAGAGTCGGCTGTCGGGGGAGTGGCGGGGAGGGGGAGGTGGAAGAATCGGTGGCGGTGGCGGCCGCGGTAGAACCAGGAGGTAACGCCAAAGAGGGACTGCGGCGAGAGGGGCGAAGCGGCGGCGGGGGGGAGATGGAACGTCCACAGCGGCGGAGGGGGTGGGTATGGCGCGTGCCACTACACGCTAGCAGGTGGAGTGCGCGTGCCCAGAAATCTTCTCTCTCTCTCCGCTCCCTGTTCCCTCACCCCACACGAATCCTTCTTTCCTTCCTTCGTTCTCTGGCGTTCTCCCTGACTCGTTCTTTCTCTCTCTCTCTTTCTTCTTGCCTTTCTCCTCTGTTTTTATTCGTGGTTCGGTTATTTCGTTCTACTCTACGTTGTGTTCAGTTCGTGTTTCTCTCTGTTCCTCCGCTGCCTCTATCTGGCCGCAGTGGTTGCCTATGTCGGATTCCGATTCGCAAATAAGAGTACACCTTTCCTCCTCCTTCTACTTCTGTTTCTGGTTCTTCTTCTTCTGTCGTTTCCTCGTTCTTCCAACCGCGGTCGTTATTATTCCGTTTCTTGTCGCAGACGGTACCCGTTCCGCGACTAATTTACCCGCGTTACGTTCTTGCCTTCGCCGCGGTCCACTTACTTTGTCCGTTGCCGACTCAATGATGCGCCGGCAGGGTTACACTATCGTGATTGTTTTATTTCCTTTTTTCTTTTGTTTCTCGTGTTTTTACCTTCGGTTTCTGTTTCAGGCATCGAGAAGGAACGTATTCTAGTGGTTCACGTAAATTCCTCGAAGTTCACTTGTCCTTGGCGCGATTTCCTTCCGTTGGCAAACGTGTCTGACGCGATTAACGGGCATCGTAATTTTAACTCGTCGCACGATTCGAAGATTCCTGCATTCATAATATTTACGCTGCGCGGTCAGGTTATTCTCGTAGGCCCGATAAGAGTTGCTAACGAAAGTCTCGGCTGCGATAACCGTCGAAGGCACGTAGCCAGCTCATCGTGACAAATTTCAACTTGTAATATCCACGAATCTCGAAACAAACTTTGAAACACGCTCTTCGCTGCTCCCTCTTATCGCTACTTTTCGTAATCTACCAAGTAACACTTTGTTTGTATCGAAATCAACTGTAAATAATTTCGCGTTGTATTCGACAGTTCGAATAATTTCCTCTATGTGTAACGTACATTGTCGCATATATTCTACGTCACGGAATACCACTTTCCAATACCAATTTCAATGTCAATTTCACGACAGTACGGAAAGAACACGGTTTACTGTCATGAGCAATTTACACTTTCCAGTTTCAACGTGCCCCGGTAAGCGGTTCGACGAAAAAGCCAGCTTTAGATCAAAATTCTCTTTCTAGGGAAACGTCACCAATCGAGAAGTTCGATCGCGATAAGCGAGACGTCGCCTCGGTACGGTAAGGCCGCGTACTCTGGACGCCCGTTAGAGTGGAGCTGTCACGGAGCTGCGCACGTGGTTTGCAGGCAGCGCGAAACAACAACAAGCCCCACACAGCGAACCTGACGCCCCGAGGAGTCGCCAGCCACTGACTCTCCTCCACGATTCGACTCGACTCGGCTTAGCTCGACTGGCCTCGCCTCGTCTCACCTCGTCCCGCTCCGTCTCGTGTCGTCTCGTCCCGTCTCGTATCGTCTCGTGTCGCCTCGTCTCGTCCCGTCCCGCTACGCTACGGCACGCCGCACCACGCCACAGCGAAGCGCGCACGTAGGCACGCGTTCGGCTATGCTCGTCCCGAGGCCGAGTCGACCCGAGGCGACTCGTCACGACTCCGACTACAACTTCGACTCCGATTCGCGCTCTCTGCTCGTTCCGATCGGAGTTTCGCCTGCCTGCCTGTTTTACACCACCCGTATGATGCCACTGACTGGCGCAGAGGCTTACAAGACCGAAACCTCCTACTACTCGAACGGTAACTGTACCGTAACGCGTCTATCATGTATAGTTTCGATAGTCTTATACACACGCTGTGTCAGTGCGGCGTCAGGCGAAGGAAGCCGAGTCGATATGATGCACCGTGAACTGTGAGAACGGTAAGGCGGCGT